AGATGAGTTTAAAAAAGGTTTGGTTTGGTTTATTAGATTTAAAAAAAAAAAAAAAAAAAAAGGAAAATGGAAAACAGCACAAAAATACATGAAGTAAAAGCCATTCCTTCTTAAAATGACTACCTCTAAAAGTGACCACTGTTTCTCAGAACATACACTAATTAAATAAAGGGTATCGAATAATCATGATAATCATGTTTTCATGTTAATCATGATAATTATGTTTTCTCTGCTTAGTGAAACATCGCTAAGGCAGTAACTATGTTTCCAAACGAATTTACTTTCTGTTGAATGATCGTTTTATACTATAACACTACCAAAGATTTCCAATATTGTTATTTAATTCTCTGAAATACTGGTCTTTTCAGGGAAAATCGTCTCGGAGAAAATGCTGCCGTGAAAGGTTTTTCTCCATATAGTGCTTTATAGCCCAAAGGGGCAATTTGCCCAGAAGGGCTATTAATTTCGTTTTGGCAATTTGCGTTAAACGGCATTTCACTTTTCAAATTGTTGCCAGCAAATATTAGAGCTCTGCATTATATTTAAAGAAATTAAATAATGAAGAATCTGCATGAAGACATGCATGTTTCTCACACTGTGAAAAACTACGGTACCTAGAGATATCAAATTCTGAATATCGTAGTCCTCCACTCGAATATGAACATCTGGTGGAAGCTGAGATTTGTAATTTGTTTTATTATCTACTTCATATTTCGTAAAGGTTGAAAATGAATTAAATTAAATTTTATGGTTTAAGTGCGAAAAACATGGTATATAAATAAATAAACATGGTATATAAGATATATATAAATAAAGATAACACCCAAAAAGTTAGGGCGTAATATAAAATCTGAAAGTTTTAATTTTTTTTTTTTTTTTTTTTTTTTTTTTTTTTTTTTAGTCCAAAGGGATTTGAATCCCGAAGGACTATTAGTTTCGTTTTGGCATTTTGCGTCGGACTCATAAATGTCGGTTCACTTTTCAAACTGTTGCCATAAAATGTTAGAGTCCTGCATTATATTTGAAGAAATTAAATAATGAAAAAATCTGCGTAAATGTATGTATATTTCTCGTATTGTGATAAAACAACGGTACATAGAGTCATCGAATTTTGAATAACGTAATCCTCCAACGAATATGAGCATGTGGAAAACCAAATTTGAAATTTGAAATTTGTTTTATGATCGATTTCCTATTTTTTTAAAACTTTGACGAATTTTTGATTAACAAACTCAAGGATTTCAAAGCGAGCAATGGCAACGTTGTGCAGAAAAAAAACATTTTTATCTCCAGCGCGTGAGTCTCTGTATCGGAAATTCTAAAGATATGCTCGTTTTAAAAACTATTTTGCGATATATTGCTGTTGCACTGGATCTTATGGTTTAAGTGCGAGGAACATGATATTTAATAAAGAAAGGTAACACACAAAATGTTAAAAAACGCCCCTTTGGACGTAATTTAAAATCTGAAACATTTCAGTTTTTTTTTTTTTTTTTTTTTTTTTTTTTTTTTGAGTAAATAAATTATTCTTTTGGTATTTCACAGAGTCGTCCTTCATTTTGGCAACTACTTTCAGTCCTGTTGTCCTCGATAATTTTTTAATTACGATGAAATAACTCTAAGGCTCTTACATGTGTTATGGTTTCACAGACTAGTCTGGTCTACTGTTTTGGTCGCCTTAGATGACTTCAGTGCCAAAGTTTATTTATATTATCAGAAATAATGGTCACCTTCCAGATGTAGTCGCTATGAGAAGTTTTATTATAGTTGTCTTTTTTGTGATGGTTATATCTCACAGATACTTCTAAAATGCAATCCATATCGATTTACCATTCAATTTATATTTGCATGAATATGAAAATTTCAAAATTTGTCTCTTCTCGTTCGGCATTTATATACTTTTTTCTGTCATTATTCCAATCTAATTGTTTCTTTGCTCCAAATGATTTTTTGAGTTGTTTTTGGAAAAACATTTTTCACAGTATAATGAAAATATGAAAAATATCCCATGTGTAATTAAAATTTTTAAATATAAAAAACAAATTATCGTAGTTACTAATATAGACTATTGCCTCCATTATATTTATATTATACTTGAATATAATAATTAAAATAAAATAATACGAAATAGAGCAAAGGTAATTCTGTTATTCTGTTAAAATTTAAACAGCAAGAATAAAGTTCAAATTATACTCAAATTAATGAAATTTAAAAGAGGATCATATTATAAAGATGACAGGCAGACAGATTGAATGTGTGACACACGTGTGATTGAGTTTAAGTTAATAAACTGAAACTGACACAAGAAACTAAAATAAAATTTTAAAAATTTACTTAAAACGCCAAATAATAATTTTACTCTCTTGCCGTCTTTGTTATGATAATTACCCTCATTTAAAGTACCTATGAAAAAAGATAATCTCTCGGCAATATATTTTAGAAATAACGTAACAGGTGTACCTGTTCTTTCATTTGTAAGTGCTTATTTTAAACTAGTGAGTCAGTGAAATGCGCAGTGTATTTCCGTAATGGAAAAATTTTCCTTTCTTTAGCGATGTTTGTTCAGGTATGTAAGCATCAAGCGTATACTACAGGCTTGATCCCTGACTGTTTGTTTTTAGTGCATTGATATTTCTATCATGTCATAGCACATTGCTATTTCTATCATGTCATAGCAAAAGTGATTTTTGTTCTCCGAAAGAGAAAGAGAACCGAAAATAGCTGGAAGATTTTAAGATTTAACTGTTTTTTTCTATTAATAGATCCTCTTTTAGCGTTTTGATTTTAGTTCGGCATTTATATAATACTCGATGGTACGTGCAAGCTTTTTAAGCCCTACAAGTTCCATAACACCTGCTCATACGCTTTTACCAAAAATCGCGTTGCTGGAATTATGCTTCGATAGAAATTAATTGGTTAGGAATTTCTTAAATGAACTATCTGGAGTGAAATTCTTTAATTGCCATACTTCCTTGTAAGGAGCAAAGGAAAAAATTTCGGGTATCATATTTCAACGAAAATACCTACTTTAATCGCTCTCGAATCCATTTGAACGATGTTTTTACGTGATATCTGTACGTACGGAGTACGTAAAGATTCTTCTGTACGTAAGGATTCTTTTTCCTCAAAACGAATTATAAAAAGGATTTAAAACTCATTCCAAAGATAATAAATAAATAAATAATAAATAAATAATAATAATAAATAAATAAAACGAATTAAAATGTTTTTTGAAAGGCATTGTATTCTACGCTGACAATTTCAGTCGACTGAACGATCAACCAGACAAAGGCTAAATTTTTTGTTTCGTGTCGTCTGTACCGTGCATACATATTTATGAATATCGCGTAACTCAAAAACGAGTAGCCTTAGAACTTTGAAATTTTTTATATGAGACTATCATAATGTAATGCCGCCCAACCGGTATAATGGTTAGCGTCGATGACTACCGTGCCGAAAAGCCCGGGTTCGAATCCCGGAGAAGTATATAGTGCCCTTGTGGCGTGGGGGCATTCTAAATATGCAGCGAGCCGAAAGTCCTCTCGAGAGGCTGGTGATAGAGAAAGAGGGGTGGGAGACCCTCGGACCCGTCCCCTAGATTGGTTTCCCTCAATCAAAATTGGGGGAGGAACTGAGCTAAACCTGTAAGGTGCTCAAGGCTGTTGCCAACGAGGCTCACTTGTCGTATGTATGTGCATTGTCGTATGCAGATGCGTTTGTATGTGCATCTCCCTTTTTAGCTGTAATCGGCCGCACCAAAAGTATATAAATATATATATTGATAACAGATTGGTTTGTTCCCCTTAACAAGTCAGTTAATCTGCAGTCAATGACAATAACTACTTTTTCAATACTTTAAATGTTTACTTTTGATTTTGGTATTTTTGCAATTCAGGATTTTTCTTTTTACTTTTTTTTATTATTATTTTTACTGCAACAGAATTCAAGAAATACTAATTAAAATACTTTATAAAAAATGTATTTATTATAATAATTTACGGTTTTAATTGAATTTCTGTTCCATGGAAATGGTAATCAAAAGTTTTCTAATGAGGAAAAAAAAAGTATATATACCCACTCTGTTACCCGGCTCGGAGAGCTCAGTTTTTTTCAATTCTCTGTGCATTTTTTGCTTTAACAATGATTGAATTATGTTGTTCTTATGTTTCTGCTCAAGTTTTTATGCCTTTACTTATTTTAGTTAGTTGAAATAGTTGTAGAATTATCAGTAGTTTAAAATTTTATAAAGTGGTATTAAACCTAACAAGGCCTCCATTTGTTTACATTTGGAACTCTTAGTATAATAGTAAATTAAGTCAGTTTGTGTGCCAAATTCAGTGTCTTTTTGCCAAGTAGGACAAAAGTAAACTTTCAGTTTTGTGCACCGAAAAATCTGTCTTTCTATACGCTAGCCTTTTTTCTTTTTTTTTTTCTCCCGTAAACTCTAATTTTAATTTTAAGAATTGCTTTCAACTGTTTTTAACTGCATAGGTTTTTCTATATTTTAGCATTTTGAATGAAGATGTTTTGCGTTTGTATGTATTTTTGCCTTGTGCGAAGTGAGAACTGAACTGATTGAATGAGGAATACGTATATCTGTAATAAAATTCGAGGAAATAAGTTTAAGTGAAATGCAGCAAAAAATTTTTAATACGCCGTACAAGGAAGTCATGTGGTGTTCGCATCAGATATTTTTTTACTGACTCACTTTTAGCTCATTTCGATCGCTTCAAAAATATGAATGTCTGGATAACTTATTACGAAAAGTCCTCAAGAGCTATCTAAAGTAGAGAAGAAACTTTTCCAGAAATTTTTGAAATCTTTGTTTTTAGTTTTAGTAGTCCATTACTTTAGGACAGGAACTTTAAAATCATTCTAACTTGCCTAGCAACCATGCTAGGTAACTGAAAAAAGGTCGAGTTTTTTAGTTTGCTAAAATCTCTTTATCTTCTCTATGTGATGATGACGACGCACGCTAGTATCGTATATGAAAGGAGGGTCGTTACGATATTGAAGTGCCTATTTTAAAGTAGTAAGCTTTACTTATTGAGTACGTGAGACAGGCAGAAGGGGACAACCCAAATTCATTAATTTTGGACAACTCAAAAACCCCTCCTTTGCAGACTGTCCCCTCATCATTGTACTCAATACCAGAACATAGGCTCGTTACTTTCTCTATGAAGATCCTAAACAAACTTTGCTCTTAAGACTATTCTTTTGATTCTGAAGAGAACCGCGTCAATGCAAGCTGATTTTTTTTTTTTTTTTTTTTCTCGGATATCTGAAGTCGGTATGTCTTAATTATTTCGTCGAACAATGATTCTATTATTTCATTTTATTATTATTCGTAAAATAATAAATTATCATTATTTATTTGGGAATTATTATTTCACTTTTTCCTGCTATGTCGTGGAATATTCATAAACAGAAACACAGAACAAACAATCCAGTAACTGCGAAAGCAGAAGAACCTGTTGGAGAAAAGAGAAAAATGAGCGTTAAGTTGCGTAAAAGAATTCCCAACATTATAATGCAATTGAAACGAACTTGAAAAAAAAAAATGATTGAATACATTGAGCTAAATAAATAAAACGAATTAAAATGTTTTTTGAAAGGCATTGTATTCTACGCTGACAATTTCAGTCGACTGAACGATCAACCAGACAAAGGCTTAAATCCAGAAGTTTAAAACTCCAATGTCTTTTGTGACTTTTCCCAGTTTTAAGCTTAAGCTAAAAGAAAAGTTTGTAGTTTTAAATAAAACTTCAATTTAGTATATTTTAATAATTAATAATTAATAAATAATAATATCCTTCACTACTGATAATGAATAATTTAATTTACAACGTTATTAATAACAGTTGTACTTTCTATTTCGCCCTGTAAACAGTATTATCCGTATAACAATTTAGGAGAAAGTGGAGCGGAAAGGTCTACGAAACGTGAAATTAATTATGGTGTCAGAAATCAGAACGGGGGGGGGACCTAGTCAGTGCAAATGCTAAGAATAAAATGATACCAAAAAAAAAAAAAAAAAAAAAAAAAAGTTAAATCTCTCGAAATTTAAAAACTAAAATGTAATTAAAATTTAATAGGTAATCATGATTTCACAGCACAAACAGCTTTCATAATGAATATCACATGTAAAACAAAAGGTAAATAGTATTTCCTGTCTTTTTCACTAGGTTTCAGCATCTTGAAATGACGAGTGAGGGCCGCCCATTCAAAGAATTGCTAAGAACTCTTTCTTTTCCCCTCGTTAGAAATTCTTTGCACTGTTGTACCCCTTTAACCCATTTCATTCCGACCTTCCCTCCAGATGTCCACTCTGCCTACTGTCCTCTTCTACGTCTCAGCTACCTCTACACCAAAGTCAAGATTTGAACAAAGTTCTCTTCCAAAAGTCTATCACGGCACCGTCCATGGAGGTAGGACTGGCACCGTCGTGGGGGACTTGTAAAGGGTGGAGAAAATGTCTTCCAGGTGAGGAAGAGTGGAAGGGAAGATTATAAATCGAAAAATGCACGCACGTGAGGGAAATCACAAAAGCCTCATGTCCCATGTTAGTAGCATGTTCAGCCTTAGGCACTGAACCGTCACCACCGAAAGAATTTAACGGTGGTAGAGACTGAACCCTAAGCCAGTTTAGTGTTCCGTAACTTCAATACCTCGCTTAACGAGTACTTAACATAATGAGCAAAACGAAATATAAAAGAAGACTCTCCTAAAGAGCGATGTTTCGTATAACGAGAAACGAGAAGACATCCTGACGTCATACGCAGCATCCTGCTTGCATCTCGGTTAGAAGCTTTCGCCCATTAGTTCCCAAACTTATAATGACAGCGAATTAAAGCATTCATTCATGCAGATTCTTCGTTATTTAATATCTTTAAATATAACACAGGGCGATAATATTTGGTGGCAACAATTTAAAAAGTCGTGAATCGATGTTTATCGTGAATCGACGCAAAATGCCAAAATATCCTGCTGGGCAAATTGCCCCTCTGGACTAATAATAATAATTAAAAAGCCATCAGAGACGTTCATTGTTTGCAGTTCAAATTCTCTACAAATAAATTCGTTCGTCTGCAGAAATATGACTTCTTCGTACTTTTCATTCACTAAGTTTGTTATTAACCTCACAAAAAAAGTTGTGTTAGCAAAAGTCAGTCAAAAAGCATTGTTAGTAAACTAGGAGAACATAAAATACCGGAGCAAATCTTCTGGTTACGACCAGTGGCGGCTCGTAATAAGCACTGTGGAACTGCACCACCCCCACTTTCCACTTATTATTATTTTTAATATTTAATATAGTGTGCTTTTCAGTCTTTAATTCTTTCTTTATACTTTTACAATACATAATCCTTAACTTTTTCGCATCGAAGTCGTCCGTAACGCCCGTTCATTCAGGCAACGGCAAACCGCCCCAACGCCTCGTTTATTTTCTACCTAGTTCTTTCCCCTCCACGTTAGTGTATGGCTCATTGGTTTCGCGAGTTGTTAAAAGACATGTCAATCATTATTTTGAAGCAAATAAAGGAGAAATACGGAAAGCTATTGACGTGCGCAGGTGCAATCCGGCCCTAAGGTGAAACTGCACACAATGGATGAAACCGCAGGGGGAAAGGAAAACTATTCCAAGACAAATTCGTAAACACGGGCGTTTTCGATATTTGTTGAAAACAGATTTGGTCGTCTCTCGATGCGAAAGAGTTAAGCTTTATGTCAGTAGCCATCCCCCATTTTGTCAAAAAGGAACTAAAGTCTTTTGTGCCTTTTTGACAAAGTGGCCGCAGCACGCGAGCCGGGCAGAGAGAAGAGCACTGTCGCTCTTGCAGTGCCGAAATTCTGCCATGTTGTTCGAAAAGTGATTTCTTTTTACTCCGGGCGTGTGGTATTCTTCCACAAGATGGAACTTCATCATACGGACCATAAACAGAGTTCATGAAAATTTGCAACCTGTTAAAAAATTGCCTCAGTGAAATCAACATCAAATGCAGAACAACAACAAATGAAACAGCAATGGGAATTTAAAAATATCTAAATGATGATAATTTCAAGTTTTGGTTAGAGCTCTTTTATCAGATGCCTCATGTTGAAATAATATACAGTCGAATGCAATTCAGAGAAATTAGCGTGTTTAAAGTTAACGAATATATAACAAATTCCAAAACTGCTATCTTAGAATTAAGAAACTCAAAGTACTGTGAGAATTTTTCAAAGACACCGATGGCAGAAGAATAGAAGAAGGAAATATGTGACTTTATACTATGTATTGATATAATGCAGAGATATTCTTCCACTAAACACTTAGCAGCTTCTAAATTGTTAAACAAGAAATGCTTCGCTAGTTTTAGGAATGAACATTCTATAGAAGAAATAGTACTGACCCCTGAAGCATATCCAATGATTGACAAAGAAAAGCTTGAGACTGAACTAAAAGTATTCTCGTAGGTCTGATATCTTGGAATACTGCAAATTAAATGAGCTATTGAAATTTATCTTCGAAAATAATCTAGATGATGTTCTTAGTGGAATCGCGAAACTGATAAAAATTCTCTTGAGAGTTCCCATGACTACATCAGAGGCAAAACGCTGCTTTTCAACATTGAAAAGAATGAAAATTTTCTAAGAAGCACTAGAATTCGGAAAGACTCAATGCGCTTGCATTGCTTTCAATAAAGAAAAATTTCTTCAATTGTCATTCAGAGATCAAGGAGAAAATTATTGATTGTTTCGCGCAAAGTAAAACAAGAAGAATGGATTTCATTTTTAAATGAATAGACAAAGAGTGAAGTGTAAAAATTTTGGTTAAAGTAATTAAGAAATGCTTAATTTTTTTATTGTAAGATTTCCTGATGTTTCAAAATAAATTTTCTTTTTATACATGTTTGTTTCCTTTTACACAATTTTAAAGCAAAGGTTAATTTTTTTTTTTTTTTTTTTTTTTTGGAACAGCACTCCAACTAATTTTAGCCATGAGCCGCTCTGGTTACGACGTTAAAAATGTGAATTCTTTCAGCTTTCCTTTTCTGTTTAACGTTTCTTTGTTATTTTGAAAATAAATTTATTTTCTAAAACAATTCGTAGCTTACTTTTCTATTTTAATATTGCAATCCATTAAAAGCATTGCTTATGGATCCTGAGATTGATAAAAATTAAATACTCTAATGATTGCTATCTGAAACTTAATAAGGAAATATGCAAACTTAATCGAAGAAACATTCTCGTGTTTTTTACTGTTAGCATAAATCAGAGAGAAGAAATCAAACATTGTTCACTAACCTGTTTTATTTTGTTGTAGAGACATTAGCAAAGCCTTTGCCGGGAATCGAACCGCAGATCTCTCAATTACGCGCTGAGTGTACTGAACCACTACACCACGAAGGCACGCTAAAAAGGCAGGAGAAATACCTTATATTGTTATTAGTAGTAAATTAGTGTATTGTTTGAAGAACTGCGTATTCTTTCCAAATAAATTCAGTGAAATTTTGCTAAACTGAAAGAATTCTTGCATATGTTATTAAAAGACTTTGAAAAATATAATTTTTCTAAAATTTATAAATAAAATTTCTGTTAATACAATTAGTTTAAAGATTGCTAATTTTTTTGTTTTCCTTTCTAACTGAAATGTAATCCTTATTAAGTATTTTACTTTAACTGCAAAGAATTTAACTTCGAAACTAACGCGAAAAGAAAACTTTTATGTGAGTATAGTAATATCATTTGTTTTATACTGAATTGCCGTTGTTGTCATCGACAGATCGAAACTATCAGTTTTTTAAAATAATAGTCAGCAAAATTTCGTAGATGTCTCATACTTTCTTAGGAATGACATCATAAAGATTTCGACGTATCGTATGTGGACAGTGTTGTGTCAGACTCAGATTCATACAGAATTCTATAAAGGCTATTACTGTCCCCCCCTTTTCTTTTAAGTATAGAAAATTGCTGACTAGATCATATCGTAAAATAGCCATGGAAAATGCCACTGAAATTTCTGAAAAGTATTACTCATTTATTCAGTTTAAAAGCAACAGTGTTTACGTTTCATTTCCGATTACATTTTCAAGGGTGTATAAATATGGCAAACTGTTATCTTTCTTTCTTTACTAATTTTTTTCGACATATACAGAAAAATATATATTTTTCATGCAAATAATTATAATCTTTTTATTCATAATTATAGCTTTCAGGTACAATATCTCCTGGCATTTCGATTTCGATAAATTTTGTAGCCTCGCGAAAAATTTACTAAAAATTGTCTTAATCAGAATTTATAGATGCTCATTGATCAGTACTTTACTTTTTTTTTATTGTATTTTATTATTAGCCCAAAGGAGCGTTAACTCAGAACGGCTATTAATTTCGTTTTGGCATTTTGCGTCGATTCATTGCATGTAAATGTCCGTAACACTTTTCAAACTGTTGCCACCAAATATTATCGCCCTGCGTTATATTTAAAGAAATT